GAGAGAGAGAGAGAGAGAGAGAGAGAGAGAGAGAGAGAGAGAGAGAGAGAGAGAGAGAGAGAGAGAGAGAGAGAGAGAGAGAGAGTTGACTTGTGGTTGTTGCTGGCAGCCATAGTCATTCAGCTTGTATAAGTAAACGTGGTGTATAAGACCAATTTTCCATCATTTGGAATTCTGATATCTCATGTTTGGTGCCCCTATTTCATGTGATGAAGTGTGCGATTTGTGTCCTGTGAGATGCTGTTGAAATGTCTTCTTTCGTTTTTTTTTTAATAGAATACAACAGGGCTTTACGGTCTAGGATCAGTCCTGTTCTCCCGGTTACAACGAGTGAAAGCATTATTTATGAAGCGTCTTCTTCTTGCAGGTTGATATGGAAATTTCTGCATTTGCATGTAGCCTGCATCAGTATCTGTCACGAAGAGCAGGGGAGTCTGAGAGGCATATCCTTGAACTCCAGGATTCTGCCAGACATTCAGAAGAACAGCTACGCGATACCGATGCGAAAAAAAAAGTGAGTGGCTGTACATGTCACGGTGAACTGGGTTTTCAATAACTTCTTGAGTTTTTAACTTTTTATTTATTAGTATTTATTACATCACCACTGTGAGATTGTGTGAATATGAACCCGCCACTGCCCCCGCCCGCACCCGAAGAGAAAAAAGGATTGTGTGAATACCATGAGCTGCAATGTGTGTTAAGGAATATTGAACGGTTGTTGAGTACGCGATAAGGTCAATCTAGCGTGCCACCAAATCGGTGCATTGTGTTGGGGGAAGATAGTGGGTCAATCCAGCGTGCCGCCAAATCGGTGAGCAGCAGACGGGGACTCAGGGACTGGCTTGCTTTTTAGTGGTTGGCGTGAGGCACCAAATCGATGAGTGCAATAAATAGTAGGCTTAGATACAGACAAGAGGGTATTTGCTGTTGGCATAAGGGCCACTCAACAGCACTCACCAAAAGCACATCAGTCTGCGCGTGTCATTGGTGGGTTTGGTCGTTTGGTGAGTGTGTGCAGCCATAACCGATTGGCTAGGGACCCGGTAGGGATTTTGCAGCAATTCGGCAGGGCCTGGAAAGGTGCAGCAGATTACCTGTAGGTAATGATGGTCCAGGGCCTGAATGTAGGCGGGAAGTAGCCTAGGTTCAGGGCCTGTAGGTAGGTTACAGTCTGCAATGATGTTCCCGCCGAAAGGAAGGAGCACTGGTAGGCCTAGTGCACCCAGGTGAGGTGGGTAGACGCAAGTAGTACCCGACTTGAGGCACCAGAGGCCAGAGGCAGCAAATATATCATTCGGTGAAATGAGTGGAATAGCAAGCATATCAT